GAGAGAGAGAGAGAGAGAGAGAGAGAGAGAGAGACAGCATGAGCAGGGGAGGGTCAGAGAGAGAGGGAGTCACAGACTGAAACAGGCTCCAGGCTCTGAGCTGGCAGTCAGCACAGAGCCCGACGCGGGGCTCGAACCCACAAACCGCGAGATCATGACCTAAGCGAAAGTCAGACGCTTAACCGACTAAGCCACCCAGGCGCCCCTCTATTCCCAATTTTTAATTTTTATTTTTTTTATTTTTTAAAGCATTTTGGAAGTGCTTTATTATTATTTTAAGTACATAGGCTCAAGTTCAGTTTTAACCAAAAATTTATTTTTTTAATTTTTATTTATTTTTTTTACAAATAGATTATTGTCCAATTAGTTTCCACATACCACCCAGTACTCATCTCCAAATTCCCAATTTGGAAATTAAGCCTCTATAAACATATAATAGTAAAAACAACTTACCAGAACAGGAAAAACTCCTACACTGATGTATATCAATGAAGCCTCTGCTTCAGGTGGGTTGTTGTGGAAAGCATATTAATCACAAATTCTCTAAATTTCACATCTACATAACAAGGCTGAGAACAAAATTTATTGAAATACCAGACAGTGGCAGCAATTCTGAGAAAATGAAGCCACTTCATACATAACACTTGGTGACATTAATTCTTGCAAAGCCGCAAACCATTTTATCCAATGGCTCCTGCTACAACCTGCAACATGGTTGTATTGACAAGGATTTATGCTGAGCAGAATAAGCCCTACAAATAAGAGTTCATATCATATAATTACACAGGTACACATTCTCTAAACCTCAAAAAAACCTGAGAAACATGAGACAGATTAATAGTTCCGTGGGGACAGGGTGAAGAAAGGAACTAGGAAGGAAGACTTCCAGGGGAACTATAAGAGATTTAATGGGAATTATGTGTTCAGTCTGATCATGTTGACTCACATCAGTGTTCTATCATATCACACACTCGGCATGTGCACCTCACTCTACGTCAGGTACATTCATCAAAGCTCTTAGAAATAAACACAGAGATACGCAGTAGGGACACAGTGATGTCACATGTTAAAGACTTAAAAATACACCTGCACTGACCCTGATTCTCTCTCTATTTAAGGTCAACTCCAGAGCAAGCAAAATCATCATGGACCCATTACAGAAAGTGTTCCACATTCCTCAGGAGCCCGCCCTCTCAGGCCTGCAGGTGGACTGAGGGAGGTCGTAGGTCCTGTAGGGAGGAGAACCGCCCCAGATCCTGGGCTCACTCTCTCCACATAAGTGCACTTGGACATCTCACCAGCCTCTACAATTTGGTTGTTGGTTCACATCTCCTTCTAGGATATGATAACACCTATACCCTATGAGTAGTGTGCAAATGTAAAACCGAAGTCGCATCTGGTCAAAAAGTGTGATCTCTGGAAAATGATAATAACAAATTTTATTTTTCCAAAAGCTGTCAATACACCAAATTAAAGAGATTTACATCTGCTCAGGTCACTGCCCTCTTTGCAACGACTGAATACATAGCTGCTTATATATGCAGAGGACATGCAAATCAGACCCTCGCTGTGCTGATTAAACCAGCCCAGCCTTGACCCTGCAGGTGGGAGAGGAGCCCCAGCCCAGGAGCCCTAGGTTTTCCCATTCTGTGACCAGGACAGAACGCAGACATCTCACCATGGAGTTTGTGCTTCGCTGGGCTTTCCTTGTTGCTGTTTTAAAAGGTAATTCAAGGTGAACAAGAGACACTGAGTATGTGAATGGATATGAGAGAGAAACACTAGATGTGTGACAGTTTCCTGACCAGGATGTCTTCTGTCTGCAGGTGTGCATTGTGAGGTGCAACTGGTGGAGTCCGGGGGAGGCCTGGTGAAGCCTGGAGGGTCCCTGAGACTCTCCTGTGCAGCCTCCGGATTCACCATCGGTAGCTACGAAATGTACTGGGTCCGCCAGGCTCCAGGGAAGGGGCTGGAGTGGGTTGCATACATTTATAGTAGTGGAAGTAGCACAAGCTATGCAGACTCCGTGAAGGGCCGATTCACCATCTCCAGAGACAACGCCAAGAACACAGTGGATCTACAGATGAACAACCTGAGAGTCGAAGACATGGCCACGTATTTCTGTGCGAGAGACACAGTGAGGAGTCATCAGGGTGAGCCCAGACACAAACCTCCCCAGAGAAGGGGATCAGCACCACCAGGGGGCGCACACTCTGCACACTTCTGGTTTATATTCCAGGAGCAGGGACAGATGGAGGTTACAGGCAGGTTTCCTGTCAGGGTCTGGGGCTTCCTCCCCATAGAGTAGTTTCCCCCAGGGAGCCCTTATGAACACATGATTTTGTGCTTAACTTTCAGTCTCTGAATGAGATACTTGAAATAGGAAACGTATAGGAACATGCACAGAAGACAGAGGTGTTGGCACTAGCTTAATCCTTCCCACTAGAAATGAATTTATATCACATATCTTAAAGAACATCAAAAAAGCATTACAAGATTCCCTGTTGCACTCACTGTTTCTTACACGCCCGCCCAGCTCAGTGTGCAAGCTCGCTAGAGGCAGCATACAGTGCATGGTGGACACGAAGCTGCAGAAGCACCGAATATCTTCATCTAGAGAAGACAGACTCCTGGTAGGCTCATTGTGGGAAGTATGTTCACTGCACCAGTATTAGTTGAACTCATGGGAAACCACATGGACCCACACCAGGGCATGGTGTGATGGGGAACCTGAAGTTCACACACACACACACACACACACACACACACACACACAAGTGGAGCGAGGGAGAGAGAAAGAGAGAAATAGGAGAGCATGAAACTTTCATGGGCTTCTTCATTTCAGAAGTGTGAAATCAGTTAAACTGGATCTGACACAAAATGTCATCAGAGCTGTGTGTCCTTCTGAGGCTCAATTGCACAATTTGAATTTCTGGTCATGATATGTCATTTCCTCAAAATCCAGCAGGGAGAATCTTACCACAGACATCAAGTGGTTTTTCCTTGAGGAACAATGAATGTCTCTCTGCCTTGCTCTCATAAGGGTGGTGTGATTTCAATCATGTCCATGCAAATTCCAGGACAATATCTCCTTGCCAGGGTCCCGAATGCACTCACAATACAATGTCCTTTGTTTCATAGATGGTGATACTCACCCTCCTTGTGCACCTGCATCTTGATTCCTTAGGAGGTATTTTCCAAAAAGTCCCCACACACACAGTGATCCACCATCTGCTTTGAGAGATGATCCTTTGTCATTTCTCCTGCAATACCTTCCCTGCTCTCTTGGACCACAACCTCGTATGCACTACTTGAGATGTTGAAATGGAATATAACATACTTCACCCTCATGAATTCACACACAACAACTACCTATTAACATGTAACAGAAAAACAGGACATTGTTCAATACGGGGCAAAGATGTGTTTACAACACAAACCTGGGTAAATCCTCTGCGTTTCTTCTTGTGCCTCGTTATTTCCTCTCTGTCCAGGAAGCGGGGTGCGGTGACATGAGGGACGTGAGGCTCTGATGGACAGGGAATGCGCTGTCCTGCGTGAAACCAGCACTGACCCCAACCTCAGAGGAGACACAGGAAGTGCCCTTCTACTCTCGGCGTCCATACATTTTGGTGACATCCCAAGAGGGTGCACCTGAAATCATACCTTGGTCCCTTTGGTGAAATTGTACCCCAGGGATACAGGAGGTCAGGACCACCGTCACCCTGAGCATGAAGCTCTTTGGGAGGGTCGTTCTCAAGAGAAGCACATCCAATTTGGGTTCTTCTTCTGTTGTCAGTCATTCTGTGTGTGTGTATCTCAGACATTCCCGGATGGGTAAATCTGTTACTAATATAACACACCTGCTTCCTTGTGACTGTGCTCAGGTTGTGTGGACTCACCCAGGTGAACCTGGAGAAGGAGTCTCAGGTGTACAGACTCTCGCAGTCTCTCATTTCCCTGCGTTACCACTAAATTCTCACCAACAGCAGTCGACATCAGGTATTTTTCATTGAATTCAGTTTTTGGAACTCTTGTCTCCAGTTTTGCTGTGCATAGTGAGCAGGTTATGCTCAGTTATGTTGTTGTAAGACATTTGTACAGTGGATTCTATTAAAAGACGACTCTAGGGGAGAAGAAGGGGGAAAATAGTCGGGGAGAGGGAGGGAGGCAAACCATGAGAGACTCATGAATGCCAAAAACAACTTGAAGGCTTATGGAGGTGGGTGGGGAGAGGATGGTGTTTGATGGGCATGGAGGAGGGAACTAGTGGGGATGAGCACTGGGTGTTATATGGAAACCAACTTGACATAAACACTTTTTAAAAATTGCTGTAGTTGAGGACAAGGTTTTTTCCTGCTTTCTCTTCTAGGGTTTTGATGGTTTCCTGTCTCACATTCAGGTCCTTTATCCATTTTGAGTTTATTTTTGTGTATGGTGTGAGAAAATGATCTAGGTTCATTCTTCTGCATGCTGCTGTCCAGTTCTCCCAGCACCGTCTGTAAAAGAGGCTGTCTTTTTTTCCATTGGAGGCTCTTCCACGCTTTGTCAAAGATTAGTTTGCCATACATTTGTGGATCCAATTCTGAGTTCTCTATTCCATTCCATTGGTCTCTGTATCTGTTTTTGTGCCAATACCATACTCTCTTGATGACTATAGCTTTGTAGTAGAGGCTAAACTCTGGGATGGTGGTGCCTTCCGTTTTGTTGTATTCGGGGTCTTTTGTGGCTCCATACAGATTTTAGGATAATTTGTTCTAGTTTTGAGAAGAATGCTGGTGTAATTATGATTGGGATTGCATTGAATGGGTAGACTGCTTTGGGTACTAATGACATTTTAACAGTATTTATTCTTCAACCCATGAGCATGGAATCTTTTTCCATTTCCTTCTGTCTTCCTCAATTTCCTTCATAAGTTTCCTATAGTTCATAATAGCACTCTCAACAATACCCAAAACATGGAAAGAGCCTAAGTGTCCATCCGCTGATGAATGGATCGAAAAATGTGGTATATTTATACAATGGAATACTACATGGCAGTGAGAAACAATGAAATCTTGCCATTTGTAGCAACATGGATGGAACTAGAGAGTGTTATGCTGAACGAATAAATTAGGCAGAGAAGGACAGAAACCATATCTTTGCACATATAAGTGGATTTGGAGGAAGCTAACACAGGACCATGAGGGAGAAGAAGGGTAAAAATAGTTGGGGAGAGGGAAGGAGGCAAACCGTGAGAGACTATTGAATCATGAGAACACTCTGAGGACTGATGGGTTTGGGGGGGTGAGGGGGGAGATGTGCATGGAGGAGGGCACTTGTGGGGATTAGCACTCGGTGCTATATGGAAACCAACGTGACAATGAACCATTTAAAAATTAAAAAAAAATAAAAATAAAAAATAACTATTTAGAAAAAAAAATAAAAATAAAAATCTCCCAAGAAACAAAAGACCAAAGCCAGATAAATGGCTTCACAAGGTAAGTTTACCAAATATTTAAAGAATAGTTAATACCTATTCTTTTCAAACTGTTTCAAAAATTCAAATGGAAAGAAAAATTCCAAATTTGTTCTATGAGACCAGTATTATCATGACTCTCAACCAGGCAGAGACCCCACTAAAAAAGGAATTATAGGCCAATACCCCTGATGAAAATGGATGTAACAATTCTCAAAAAATAGTAACAAATCAAATCCAACAATATATTAAAAGAATTATTGGCCACAATCAAGAGGGATTATTGCTGGCCTGAAAGGCGTGAGGGCACCACAAAAATGGCAGGAACTTCTCCTGATAAGTCAGGTTAGGAGCCTCCTGTGCCTTGTCGCTTGAGCACATCAAGTCATATTTGAGGGCGGCCATGAGTTCTGGTCTTACAACCCAGAGTCCAGTAAGTAGGGTTACCTCCATCCTCCACTGACTGGTGTTCCACATCATTCAATCAAGGATTTTTTGCTCTATTGAGCGATCCATTCACGTCTATTGACACATCATATGTACATGGTCCCTTGTGGTTGTTGGAAATCCCTAGCATCTCCATCAGTTCTGTGAATCTGTCTCAAGGTTTCTCAATATCTTCAATTCCCTGTGACAGAAAAGATCTTTACACTACAGTCACTCCACTGGGATTTCTAGAAGGTCAGGAACCTGCGAACCTCACTGGGTATGCCCAATCTCTCCTGCTATTGGTTCCAGAGAGAAGTGGGTCCCATGGTGGGGAGCACAGTCCAGAATCGAGGCTGCTCTCACCTGATCTGTGGGACACTCACACACTCCTTCTCTGCTGCAGTGTGTATCTGTTCACCTCTACAATGGTGGTAAATTGAGTCCTACCTTACATGTTTGGGTACATATGAGAAAATAAGGAATGTAATGGGATTTAATATTCACCACAGCAAAAAAATCACAAGATTCATCACCATTTTCTGAAATATATCATGGTACCAAACGATTCCAGATTCCTCACACTTGCTCTGGTTCACTGCCCATCTAAGGATTCTATTTCGAGTATTAGTTATATTGTCAAGTACATGCAAATAGGGCCTTCCCTCTGCTGTATAAACCAGCCAACTTTCAATCCTGCAGCTGGGAGAGGAGCCCCAGCCCTGGGATTCCCAGGTGTTCCCATACCGTAATCAGGACAGAACAGACATCTCACGATTGATTTATGCTTGACTGGATTTTACTTGGTGTTCTTTTAAAACATAATACATGGTGAACAAGAGACACCAAGGATGTGAGTGGATATGAATGAGAAACCGTGGATGTGTGACAGTTTCCTCACCAGGATGTCGTGTGTCTGAATGTGTCCAGTGTGACAGTCACCTGGTGTAGTCTGGGGAGACGTGGTGAAGCCTGGGGTTTCCCTGAGACTTTCCTGTGCAACCTCTGGATTCACCTTCAGTAGCAATGACATGCACTGGGTCAGCAAGGCTCCAGGGAAGAAGCTGCAGTGGTCGCATATATTATTAATACTGATGAAAGTAACACATACTACCCAGGCTCTGTAAAGGGATGATTCACCATTTCCAGAGACCACATCAAGAATACACTGTATCTGCAGATGAACAACCTGAGAGCCGAGGACATGGCCATCTATTACTTTCCGAAGGACAAAGTGAGGGACCACCGTGTGAGCACAGACACGTCCTCCCTGCAGGGACACAAGAGGGGCTGTGCTGTGCTGTGGGGGAGCTCAGTTCACCAGGGGACTCTCAGGTCACGAGGGGTTGCTCAGGGCAGCAGAGTGTAGTCAAGACCAACAATACTCTTTCCACCCCGGGAGCAGATGCTAGTGGAAGTTAAATCCATGCTTCCTGTAAACGTTTGGAGCTTCCTCTTCATAATTATATTTCCCTAGTGGAGTCTCTCCAGAACATGGTTTGTTTCTACCTCATAAATCTATGAATAGTAACATTACTTATAATAGGAGAAAAGTACATTTACATGCACATAAGGCAGAATGTCACATGCACTTGCCTAATCATTTCCCTAAATGACAATTAATTATAGGTATTCTGATGTAAGTCCACTAATCTGTAAGAAGTATCCATTGTACTCAACAACCCAGCACCACAAAGCCCAGTATATGAGCTATGAACAGCATCATAAACTGCATGCTGGACACCAAGCAACCTAGACATTATAAGCAAAAGCAGGGGAAGAATGACCCCAGTGCTGGGGATCATTGTGTGGATACAGTCTCATAATATCTATTTCAGGCAACACCTCTCAAAGGAAGAGACCCCACCCAACTGGTGTAATTGTAGAACCAGATGAAAAGACACATAAATAACAAGAAATATAACATGTTTTTTATTTATTTTTTATTTTTATTTTTAATGGTATATTGTCAAGTTCGTTTCCATATAACTCCCAGTGCTCATCCCCACAAGTGTCCTCCCCCATGACCATCTCCCCCCTCCCCCCCACCCTATCAGTCCTCAGTTTGTTCTCAGCATTCAAGAATCTCTCATGGTTTCCCTCCCTCCCTATCCCCCTTATTCCCCCCAGTCTTCTCCCTCACGATCCTCCGTTAAGTTCCTCCTAATCCTCCTATACGTGCAAACATATGATATTTGTCCTTCTCTGCCTGACTTATTTCGCTCAGAATAACACCCTCAATGGGGCGCCTGGGTGGCTTAGTCGGTTAAGCATCCGACTTTCGCTTAGGTCATGATCTCGCGGTTCGTGGGTTCGAGCCCCGTGTCGGGCTCTGTGCTGACTGCCAGCTCAGAGCCTGGAGCCTCTTTCGGTCTGTGACTCCCTCTCTCTCTGACCCTCCCCTGCTCACGCTGTTTCTCTCTCTCCTAGAAATAAATAAAACATAAAAAAAAAAGAATAACACCCTCAAGGTCCATCCATGTTGCTACACATGGCCAGATTTCATTCTTTCCTATTGCCATGTAGTATTCCATCGTATAGATAAACCACATCTTCTCCATCCATTCTTCATTTGATGGACACTTAGGCTTTTTCCATGTTTTGGTTATTGTTGAGAATGCTGCTATGAACATTGGGTTAGATGTTCCCCTATGCCTCAGCACTCCTGTATCCCTTGGGTAAATTCCTATCAGTGCTATTGCTGGGTTATAGGGGAGTTCTATAGTTCTTTTTTTTTTTTAGGAACCTCCACATGTTTTCCAAAGGGGCTGCACACCAGTTTACATTCCCACCAACAGTGTAAGAGGGTGTGATTTCTCCACAGCGTTCCCAGCATCTAGAGTGCTCAGCAGGCCTCCTCATCAGGGAGATATTTTTTTTTATTTTGTAATTAGTCTATGTCAAGTTGGTTTCCATATAACACCCAGTGCTAATCTCCACAAGTGCCCTCCTCCATGCTCGTCACCCCTTCCCCTCCCATCCACCCCCATCAGCCCTCAGTTTGTTCTCAGCATCAAAAGTCTCTCATGGTTTGGCTTCCTCCATCTCCTTCACTATTTTTATCCTTTTTCTTCTTGATCACCTCCTTCATTGAGGTGTGTGTTGATCCTCACCAATGCCAAATGGCATGACAGAAATGCTTTCATAAATCCAAATAAGGACAGTAAATCTGGGATTTCTTTGTTTGTCAGTGTCTGTAGAAACACAGTAAGTTCTCTTCCACCATCAAAATGGAGGGCACTTCTGGGACTGACCACTGGGTGTTATATAGAAACCATCTTGACAATAAACTATTAAGAAAAAAAAAAAAAAAAGCAAAGAACGATGCTTTCTTATGAGATGTCCCATGAGTGGGGCAGGAGCAGAGGCAGGAATGAGACTTATGGTGTCAATAAAGAAACATCAGAAGACATAATCTGATGTCTAATTTCTGGTAACAACTACAAAATGAGTGAAGGAGAATGTAGAAGCCTATCCGCATCCCTAGAAAATGAGAATGTGTATATGTAAGCCCACAATAACAAAGATATTAGAAGTGGACAGAGGACTTACTCAGTGTCTATCCTGGAAGCTGTCCACTCCCCAAGGTCAGCGGATTGCTCTGAAGACCTTGTGTTCACTGTGTGCTCATAAAGACCAGAAGCTTCAACAGGATCCACGAGTATCCAGTTTGTGCTTCTTGATTGCAGGAGCCTTCCAACTGCACAGAATAACTAATTGATCATTCAGTTGCCGGTATCAGCTCAATGTGTGTGTCCTCTACCATCCCCATTAGAAAACCTAATGCCAATGTGATAGTAGGAGGAGACAGGGCCTTTCAAAAACACATAGGTCATGAAAGGGCTGCCCCCTCATGATGGGATTAGTTACCTTATACACCAGGACAGGGAAAGTCCCCTGTTCCATGGCCCCATGCGAGGTGACAGAATGGATGGTCAAGGACATGAGTGATCTCCAGGCACCAAATCTGCCTGTCTCTTGACCTTGGACTTCCCAGACTCCAGAACAATAAGAAATGAGTGTCTGTGGTTTAAATCCACCAAGTCTGTAAACACTGTTACAGCATCCAGAGCAGACTAACACGTTAGTGACACAGAAACCAAGTACTGACACTCTGGCATTTCCTTGCTATATTTGTAATGAAAAGTACCTGATAAGTTCCTTCAGTGAGCCCAAAGACAGTTTTTTTTTCTCTCACATTTTTTCCAAAATATTGAATTTAATAGGAGAAAATCAAAGGAAAGGCAGCCTTACCCTGTAAGTGACAGGAGTGAATATGATTCATGAGTCGTTTTGAAAATGTCCCCACATCTGAATGCCATAGGGCAGAGCCTATAATTGGAGGAAATATTTCTACATGCATGGCTCTTCCACATACAATGTCACAGAGAGATGAGTGATGTGCCCTTGAGTCCGTGGACCGTAGGGTCATAAGTGCTGCTGGGACTGTCTTTAAAAGGGGAAAACGTAAAACAAATTCAAATACTAATTAAAGAACAACTCAATCTGGGACATATTAAACCTTCAACTAGTCCTTGGCACAGTCCTGTTTTATGCATTCCAAAGAAGTCAGATACATGGAGGCTCCTCCATGACTTAAGAGCTGTTAATGTCCATATGATCCCAATGGGACAATTACAATTTGGACTTCCTAACCCAGCTTTAATTCCTCAAGACTTTAACATTATTATTGATTTAAAAACTTGTTGTTCTTACATTTCCATTACAGCCAGAAGACAAAGAAAATTTCACTTTCATTCTCCTTACTATTAACAATCATCAACCCAGACAGAGGTTTCACTGGAAATTCCTGCCACGAGGTATGAAGAACAGCCCAGATATGGGTCAATACTTTGTTAATACAGCTCTATTACCCACTAGAGAAAAGTGTCCTCAAGTTCTCATTTATCACTATACGGATGGTATCTTAATAGCAGCTCCCCAGTAAAATATACCTGCAGATCCTTTACAATTTTTATTCAACCAGTCACTTCCGTCGGCCTCCTCATCGATCCTGAAAACGTTCAAAAGTCAACACAATGGAAATATTTACCATATAAACTATTACAAAACTATGTCACTCCACAACATATAGAAATTCATTTCTGTAACCCTTTAATCCTTAGTTTGCTATAGCAATACTTGGGACATATTAATTGGTCCCAAATATCAGCTTACAGACCCACTTTAGGAATCCTGACATATCAGCTTACTTCACTGTATAATCGGTCAAAAAGGGACCCCAGCCCCGCTCTCTGAGCCATGACAGACTAAAAGCTCTAGAGGAATTGCATCTCATAACGCATTGGGCCTCCATTACCTTTATTGATCAAGAGGAATCCCAATTTCCTTTCATTTTTTAAATTTTAAGCACAACCCATTCTTCCACTAGAGTTATCTGTCAAGTTTTGCCTATCAAATAAATGTGTAATCATTGAATGTTATTTTTATCCTCCCAACCGAAACATCCAGATTCTCCTTCTTTGTCACTTTGATTGCAATTAATTCAAGAAGGCTGCAATTGGATTATTCAATTTACAAGAACTGACTCTGTATCTATTTTTCTAGGGATTAGTAAAGATGATATAAAATATCTTTGGACTCATGGAGAACCTTTTCAAATCACTATAGCAGTTCACACACGTGACCTTCTTTATTCTCTCCCAGAATATAAGAAGATCCAGGGCCTTCAATTACTTAATTTATCTGCTATGCCTTTGGCTTCAAAACAATCAACTCCCAGTGCTCTTACTGTTTTTATTGATGGCTCAAAACAAACAAACAAACAAACAAAAAACCTCCCAAGTTGTCCTTACATGGGCAAAAAAATGCAACCTGGAAACACTCTTACACTGCTCTCACTACTTCTCCCCAGAGGGCTTACCTAACCACTGGTATATGAACCATCAAACATTTTTTAATCGCCCAGTTAATTTGATTACCAATACCCAATATTTTGCTCAATTATTTAATGACTATTTCTGTGTCCCTCTCAATACTAATTGCAAACTTTGCTCAATATGTTTCTAGAAGCCCAAGCACTTTCACTAACAACTCATCGTGTCATTTTCATATTTCATATTCTAAATCATTCTCATTTACCAGAACCCCTTACATGAGGAAGTGACCTAACTGACTCCTTATTACTAGGATCACTTTTCTTGTCACTGTCACTTCTCATTCCTTTTCCACCAAGTTGCATGCTCTCTATCCAAACAAATTTCTATTCCTCTCTCTCAGGCAAACTATGTCATTCATACCTGCCTAGAATGACAATAATGTTCCCCTACCTATCTGACCCATGGGATAAATCCTTGGGTCTTCGAAACCAATCAATTATGGCACATGGAAGTCAGGAATGTATCATCTTTGGTAAATGCTATTGGACGCATGTGTCTGTGGACACCTTTTCTGGATAAGTATGGGTCTCTGCCGAAAGGGGAGGATGCACTTTATATGTTATACCCCCACTTACTTGAATGTTTCACAGTAATGAGGGCATCAGAAAAATAAATTAATAACTGATAGTTTCCCAGCTTCCTCCTCACAACAGCTACAATCCTTCTTAGAACAATGGAATATCTGTCATTCGGCCTCATAACCCACAAGGTCAAGCCATCGTAGAACATGCAAACAGCCTTTTAAAACTGCTTTTATTAAAGTGTAAGAGGAGGAGAGGCCAACGTGGTGGATAAGTAGGGAAATCCTAAGTGCCCTCATCTCTCATACTAAGCAGTGTTGAGGCCAAAGGACTTTTTTTTAAATATTTTTTTTATTTATTTCTAGGAGAGACAGGGACAGCGTGAGCAGGGGAGGGTCAGAGAGAGAGGGAGTCACAGACTCTGAAACAGGCTCCAGGCTCTGAGCTGGCAGTTAGCACAGAGCCCAACGCAGGGCTCGAACCCACGAACCGCGAGATCATGACCTAAGCAAAAGTCGGACGCTTAACCGACTAAGCCACCCTGGCGCCCCGAGGCCAAAAGACTTTGAACTCCAAGATTCTAGGGGGCAAAATGACAGACATACTTCAGGGACCCACTGGGACCACCAGACTGGCCATAGGTCCATAGTTGTGAACTTTGAGAGATAGAACGAATGGAGAAGAGGGATCCCCTTCTTTGGAGAGACAAAGGGAAGAGTAAGAGGGTCTGGGGAAGCCTATGACAGTATATGGACAAGAGAAAAACCAAGGACCAGGGTGGAGAAAGATTCAATCTCTAACTGCTGGGCTTTCTCCAGACTGGGACTGGATTGCCTGTTTGAGCATCTGTGTAGGAGAGGAGACAGCCCCAGGGTCAGCAACTAGTTCAATGGCACAGTCCGCAGTGGGAGAGAGCAATCTTCTCCCTGGAAGGCTGTGAAAAGATATGGATCCTCTCGAAGGAGCAGCACTTCCCTGAAACCGAGGTACACAGAGTGGAAACCTTAAAGACATAGGGGATTAAGTCCTAGCTGAGTGCCAAGGTGGCATGTGAGTTCGCTGAGCAAGACAAACCGCAGGCACAGCGCAGTGAGGCGGCGGGGCAGCTCTTCTCCAGAAACGGGACACGGAGTGGAAATCTTTAAGACACCAGGGTTTAAATGCAGTCAAGGGGGAAGGAGGCAAGGGAGTCGGTGGAGTGGGAGAAACCACCTCGTTTGCGCCCATGGCACAGTGAGGACGGCTTGAACAGAGTGGTTTGGGACACCTGGTCCATGGACGAGAGACTGGGGTGTCACCATTTTTCTCCCCATTGCCAACAAGGTGGGGCTTCATGGAAAAGACAACAGGCCCACAGTGGAGTCAGGACCCGCCTACACCAAATCACACCCTTTCACACCTAGTAACTACATATCTACAAGAGCCAGATTGACTGAAAAACTAAACAGTTCCTCCTCCTTTGGTTACTCTGGTTGTTGGTTTCTTAAGCAGACATATTTAATCTATTCCCTTGATAGATTTTCTATACATCCTTTTTTATCTTCCTTTCTCTCTCTCTGATTGTCATATAGTGTCTTTGTCTGATGTATTTTATTTTATTTTATTTATTTTATTTTATTTTCCGATCTCCTTTGTTATCTTCCTTTCTCTCTTTCTGGATTAAGCTGTATAGTTTCTTTGTCTGCTCAATTTTTAATTTCTTTTCTTTTTCCCTACACCTATCATTTAACTCTATGTATGGAATAAATCCTCTACCATCAGCATCACCTCCATCCTTTTGTTTATCCGCAGCTGGTGTTTCGGATTGTTTTTTTGTTTTGTTTCTGGGTTTTGTTTTTGTGGGTACACTTGTGTTTTTTTTTTGTTAGCTTTTTGTTTCTTTGTTCCTTTGTATGTTTGTTTGTTTTTTCCAGGGCTACTTCAAGGAAGAAATAAAAGCACACCGAGTGGAAGGTTCAAAACATTAATACAGGTAGGGAGAAAAAGTAACCAAAGTCACAACAACAAAGAGCAAGTAACACTCTACAAAAAACACGTCATGAATGGCGAGGCCCTGGGCAGTGTATGATCCCTTTTGGATATAGAAGTGCTCAAAGATGTAGAGCACATAACAAGCTTTTAAAACACAAGGGACAGAAAACTAGGCAAAATGAAGAAATGGAAGAATTCTCCTCAAAAAAAAAAATTCCAGGAATAAGTGAGAGCTAAAAAATAACTCAAAACAGTATGAACATTTGGATACCTTTTTCTGCTTTGTCAAAGATTAGTTGGCTGTATACTTTGGGGTCCAATTCTGAGTTCTCAATTCAATTCCATTGATCTATGTGTCTGTTTATGTGCCAATAAAATACTATCTTGATGATGACAGCTTTGTAGTAGAGGCTCAAGTCTGGGATGGTGATACCTCCCGTTTTGGTTTTATTGTTCAGTATTACTTTGGCTATTCGGGGTCTTTTGTGGCTCCATACAAATTTTAGAATAGTTTGTTCTAGTTTTGAGAAGTATGCTCGTGCAATCTTGATTGGGATTGCATTGAATGTGTACATTGTTTTGGGTAGTAATGACATTTTAACTATATTTATTCTTCTAATCCATGAGCATGGAATGTTTTCCCATTTCTTTGTGTCTTCTTCAATTTTCTTCATAAGTTTTCTATCGGTTTCATCATACAGATTTCTTATATCCTTGGTTAGGTTTATTCCTAGCTATTTTATGTTTTTTCTTCAATTGTGAATGGGAACAGCTTCTTGATTTCTCTTTCTTTTTCTTCATTGTTGGTGGATAAAAATGCAACCGATTTCTGTACATTGATTTTGTACCCTGCAACTTTGCTGAATTCTTGGATTAGTTCTAGCAGGCGTCTGGTGGAATCTCTCGGGTTTTCTATGTGGAGTATTGCTTTGTCTGCAAAAAGTGAAAGTTTGACTGTTTCTTTGCAATTCTGATGCACTTTATTTCCTTTTATTATCTGATGGCTGATTGTGGGATGTCCAGCACTATATTAAACAACAGTAGTGAGAGTGGACATCACTGTCTTGTTCCTGATCTCAGGGGGAAAGCTCTCAGTTTTTCCCCATTGAGGATGATGTTAGCTGAGGGCTTCTCATAATTGCTTTTATGATGTTTAAGTAAGTTTCTTCTATCCTGACTTTCTTAAGCCTCTTTAACTGATGTTGCTGGGAGAACTGGACAGTAACATGCAGAAGAATGAAACTAGATCATTTTCCCACACCATACACAAGAATAAACTCAAAATGGATAAAGGACCTGAATGTGAGACAGGAAACCATCAAAACCCTAAAGGAGAAAGCAGGAAACAATCTCCTTGACCTCAACCGCAGCAATTTCTAAC